TTTTCCAACCTTAATGATTCTACGATTTCATTGCTGCAGCTACAAACGAGGTTAGCTGTGAAACCCAGGAGGCAAGAGGAGGTCGGTTTTGGTATCTCAAGGCATCATTACATACAAATGACATCTTAGGTCACCTACTGCGCCTTCAGCCTTGCTTTATAGCATCCCACTGGATCCCTGCAGGCTCTTCAATAGCAAAGCACTACAAGTACTGCCTCAGCCAAACCCAAAGCAACCAGGGAACGCAAGAAAGGATCCACCAAGTGATTGTGAACCTGGTTTATCTTTTACATTCACAAGAGAGACATGGAGAGAGGCAGGTACCTTGGAGGGTACTGGCTGGCTGGGCCTGCAGGCAGTGGGCGCTGCTGGCCACCAGCCTGCTCTGCAGAGCGTGGAAAGCGCTGGGTGTCGTGCTGCTGGGGATCACGGCAGACGGAGCAGGACTCGTGGAGGAGGTTTCTGCTGCCGAACTCAGCCTACAAAGCGAGCAGAAGAGAAAGACTGCAGTTAGCGATAAACTGCACAGGGCAAGGCAAGATGGCTTTGACTGGCCTAACACAACCAAGCGGGACTCCTGGAAGCACAAGACAGGGAGCTGACGAGCTACAAAAACCCGAAGCAAGAGGTTTCCCTGTGTCCACTGCGGCAGCTAGAACAAGGAGCACCTATGGCAAAATCCGTGTATTTCCAAATTGGAAGTGAGCTTGTTATTGTGTGTGCGCCTACCTAGGTGCTGCAAGGGCTGTGTCACCCTACACAAAAGCAATCTACCTTGCAGTGAAACATTTCCCATTTAAAACCTACTTTCTATTTGAGAACAGCTCTTCTTCCTCTCCCCTCCCAGATCAGTCAGAGTCCGATTCTCCAAAGTTTGGTTTGAATTAAAAGGGAAAACAGTGATGCGAGATGTCAACGTCAGATTCATTTCCCAGCAGAAATCCCTACGGCCAGTTAATCAACTTCATGAACCGATATTGAGGCTTTGTTCCCCTATCTTTGGAAAAAAAAAGCTTCACTGTCAGAGGGAATGAAGGGAAGGATTAAAGACGACCCTGAATTTCTGGCAGACACCACAGCCATTCAAGAGACAGAGATTAGCAAATTTGGATTTGGGAAACCATATAGAAATATAGCCCAACAGCCACAATACTGTCTACTTCTGCCCATTTCTGCCATTCTCAGACTCAACTGCCAGTTGCAAATGGTTTTCCAGAGCCTAAGAGTCTCTTGCACTTCAGAAAATTCCAGTCATAAGCAAGATACCAGAAAGCTTCACATGCAGAAATCGCCCTGTTGCGGTGCTTCCCACCAGCAGCCTGTCAAAAAGACCCACAGTTTATAAAAAACAAAGTCGCACTCACTTGGAGGTGGTGAGCAGTCCTGACAGCTCCTTTGCGCCCGACACAGACTGGCCGACAGCCAGGGGGACCGGCTTTCCAGCGACAACTGCAAAAGAAAAAGAAGAAACCTCACTCTCTCTCCTCCACGAGTATTTAGGGATTTCCCCTCTCTCACACAACTACGCACAGACACAGCGCTGCAGGCCACGGGCTCATCCCGCTCACAAACCATCTTCTCAAGGAAACCTCCGCTGCAGCCATAAACACACACTCCAGCAACCGCGCTACGGGAGATCGGGAGTATCAAACAGAGCAGAGTTGCGAATAAAAACCAGAAAGCTGCCGTTGTGGAAGCGTTACGACAGACGGGATTGAAAGAATCAGCTTCAAAACCTCTAAGCAGTGAAATCTCAGGCCCTCACCACCAAATGCATTTCTCTCTCCTAAACGTTATCTCCAGTGATCCCCTCCTCCTAGTCCAGCATGGTACAGGTCTACTGCCTCAACCGATTAATTCGGATCTGGCTAGTCGCTAGCGATCGATTTTGTAAGCATTCTTTAGAGACACTTTACAAAATACACAGGGATGCGACGAGTCACAATATTTGTTTATTGCGGCGTTTTGGGATACAACTGCGTTTGTCTTGTGCATTCCTCCTGCTCACACACGGTAAGAGGGAATTCTTGTTTTGGTTCATGTTTACTTCTGCATTTCCTTTCTGTGAAAAGAAGTAAAGTTTGGAAAATTAAAAAAAAAAAAAGATTCCAGAAACCAGAGATTTTCAAAGCCGCCAGAAGATAAACTGTAACCTTAAAAAAGGATGTGTATTTATCCGTTCATTTTCACAGTTCAAAACAACTGTTAAATTAACCAAGAGATGCTTCCAAAGGAGCAGAATTATTTCTCAGCTTTGAAAACCTCTGATTTCCTATCAGAATGGAGACGCTGACCTTTCAGTCCTGCATCGAGCTAACACTAATAACGAGCGACCGCTTTACACATCTGGGGCTCTGCGCTCTCATGTGAGGAAGTCATATATGCCAGTGGGGGCAGTGACAAGGCAACATCCTTCAGGTACAAGGGTGACAGCCGCCAAAGCTTCTGGCCTCCTTGCAAAGGCTCAAGGGGAAGACGACCGAGCACATCACCTCTTCTTGGACTGCAGGGACCTCTGCTACGCTCGTCGCAGCGGGTTTTCCCAGTCGCAGAAGCAGGAGAGGCGCTGGAGTTTATTTATATGTCTATCAAGCGCGTATTGTGCCAGACTTTAGGCCCAAAGGGGATAGGGAGAGCGGAGCACTCGGCTGATTCGTGAAGTCTGAACACACGAAAGTCTCCCAGAGGGAGGAACGTCGCCGTCATCCCTAAAGCAGGAGCACGTTCCAGGTGAGAGCTTCGCGCGGGAGTCACAGGAGCGGGCAGCAGAAACGGAGACACGCACGACCTCTGTGGAGCAAGGGGTCCGCCAGGACCGGCATCCTGTTTCCAGCAGCGGCTCGATGCCTCAGAGGAAGGTGTAAAATTCGCCTCGCAGCTCATAAGGCTGCGGTCGAGCGTTTCGCTGGAGCATGCAATTCCAACCTCTATGGAAAACAGAGGCTCCTGCCAAGCTCCTATGTGCTGTCAGCCCCCACGCTTCCCCAGCTATCCCCAAGTCACTCACACCTTGAGCGTGAGTTTTCTGCTTCCGTCTGCTTTCTGCAGCTAACTCCTCCAAAAATAACAAAAAATCACAGCTCAGCTCCCCTCCCCTCCCCACGCCGTGCCCCAGAGGAGCGGGTCTGGCCAAGCCACGACCCCGCTCTCCGGTTAAAAAGCAGCTATGCAATCGCAACTCACTTTCTGCCTGGGTGGTGAGGGGTGCTCCGTTCCCCACGCCAGCAGCATCTCCGTGAGAGACAATGGTCACCTTGATTTTGGCTCGTTTGGAGGATTTGGTGCACTGGGTCGGGCTGGGGGTCTGATGCCTCTTCAGCTGCATACGTACATCATCTTTCTCAGCCCCTTCCGAGTGCTCTGAGGAGACTGGAACTAGGGGACACAGAAGTAGCTTTTTGAAAACTGACGGCCGATCCCTCGAGGTCAGTGCTGCTCCACTGTGCGCACCAAGGTGTGGAGAAGGGACGCATGCCCATGCACACTTCCACAGCTCCCTCCATGCCAGCCTTACCCATCTCCCATGCATCAGGAACCCACGCTTCTCCTTTTCACCACCTACGCTGACTTCCGCGTGCCCTAAGCTGCTGTCTTAGGGCCAGGACTTAGCTTAAGCTACTCACAGACTAAGGCAGGACGGCATATAAAGTCAGCCTTGCCTCTGCCGCGAAGAAAAATGAATGCCTGCAGCGATAACACATCTCCACATAAACAGTTTTCATTTCAGAGCGCGGCATAATCAATCCCGGCATGAGGCCCCTTGAACATCCCTAATTTCCAGGTGAGGGGACGAGGGCGCAGAGACTTGCAGAGCTGGTGCAGGCGCGCTGCCAATGCTGGGATTAGAGCTCAGCCCGCCTGCTCCTCTGACACACCAGCAAAGGTATTTGCATGCCTTGTTGTTCGGCACATCCCTTCCAGCACTCGTAACCAGCCCTCCAGGAGCTGGACTGAAGCATACAGGTTTCTTAGAGGGACCAAGCGAAGCAGCCGTGAGCACAAAAGGTGCTGCAGCAAAGCCAAGCCCCCACATACCCTAGGCTGCTCGGTACTAGGGGAGAAAAGCCGCGAGCTGAGATTTCTCTTCCACACCAACAGCTTATTTTGCTGCCATGTCCTTGACCCATCATATCTGTTTCATCCTGCCTAGAGCACAAGCTTGCCGGGGCCAGGGCTATCCGAAAAAGCACAGAGGACCCATGACAAGCGCCTCTGGGCAGCCCAGGAACAAAACACGGTCATGAGCTGCCACATCCTGTCCATCCGTTCTCCGCACGTCTCCCACCGCTGGTGTACGATTGTTCGGCCCCAGCCTGAAACGCTGGTGGACGGGGTCAAAACGAGGGCACAGATCTGCCTCACGCTGTGGTGTTCGCAGCCTGGCAGCACTCAGAAATGCAGCCGCCACTACGCCCCAGCGCTGCCGTGATCTGCGGCAAGGGGGAAAAGGCCTTCGCTCAAAGCTACGGAGAGCCCTCTCCATCGAGAGCTTCTGCAGACCGCTGCTGAGCCAGCTAACTCCCTCTTTACAGATGGTCCTGGGCATCTAAGCCATGTATTCAACAGCCTAAAGGCCAAGATGTACATACCTTTTTATTTATATATATCTAGATACAGATATATTATATAAAATTAATACCGATGTGCGTGTGTATATGTATGTATACACTCCCTGCGTATCACACCACCTGCATACCTCTGAACTGTGAGCGTAGGACAAGACTGCAGCCAAATCCCTAAATGTCAGGTGACTCCAAGTGTTTCGGGGCCACTCTGGTCTCCAAGACAAGCATCAGGCTTGCTGTGCTGCTATAGACGGCCGGACCCGTGGCTCGAGCGTGTTAACTCGTGACGCTTGTGCAACACTCCCGTGCCACCCACCCACCTGCAAACATGCATCGCCCAAATCACCGTCCAGAGAGACCTCATCAGGCGTGCACAGACTGCAGGCACCAAAGCCCCCCCCGCCAAGCAGGACAGTGAAACGGCACATGCACAGGCAGTGGCATTAAGTGCCCCTCAAAGCATCGGTGAGCAGTGACCCAACGTCCCTCTGTGTCCCCACCACACAAGAGCGAAGCCTGCTTCTGCTCGCACAGGGGCACGCGGACCCTCGCCGCAAAGGGCTGGCTGCGTGTTCAGGAGGAGCACCCTGCTCCCAAAACAACAGCGAATGCTCCCAACGTACGCGCCCCGGCTTCCTACCTCGTGGTTCAAGCAGCCAAGCCAACGCAGTAACAAGCCCAGAGGTCTTAATTGGCTTTTGATCTTATCAAAAGAGGCTGGTGCCAGCCTCTCCACATCTCCTCACCAGTGGGGTAACATCCACTGTGATTTCTCTTCCCAGCAGACGCTGGGTGGGAGGACTCCGGATAAGTGCAGGGCTCCATGTATGCTCCCAGGCTAACCTCATCGCAGCGGGAAGAGCACAAAACAAGGCTCAAGCGAGAAAGAAACCTTTAAACAAGGCTCAAGGGAAAAAGAAACCTTTAAAACAACCAGCTTGGGCCAATACTTGCCTCAGGAGTTTGTTACCATGGTTGTGTATGTGCAGTTTGGACTATATCTCGTGTTGTGTTCAGGGCAAGCAGGAAGCCTGTATCTTACGAGTGTCTACACAACATGCCAAAATACCACGAGCTTCTCTGCATCCGGCGCTTGCCTCGTCGAGTTAAAAGCACCGGCATTCAGGGTGTTGCAGAGAGGCAGTTCTCACCCACGTCGATGCGCTCAGCACCCTGGGGTCACCCAAATGGAGAACTGACACTGACAGTTCACATGACGACACCGCAGCCTCCCAAAGCCTTGGATTTCAACCCCTCGTCCTCTCCTAATCCCAGATCCACACAGTCACTGCCATTCGAGAGGGCAAAACGCGTCTTTAGAAACGCTGTGGATCTCGACCCTCGATCCCTAACCCTCAGAGCACCGCACACACTGAGGTCCACCTCTCTGCATGCTCCAGCACCCAACGCGAGAGACCACAGGACTACAGACTGCTCACCTCCACGTGTCTCCTCGTCCAGACAGCATCCCTCTCCCACCACATCATCGACTTCCCAAAGCCATCCCTCTCCCTGACTTCTCTGCTCTTCTCTAACGCTCTCTGGCTCCACGTGTCTACATCTGCCCCTTCCAAGTCACTTGGCTGTCCCTCATTTCTGCTCCCACTGCCAGCCCCTTTGCCGCTCCACGTGTTTGGGACGCTCCACCAACACACGCAGTCTCTCAGGCTGGTTTCCACATCCCCTTCTCAGCCCCAGCACAGGAAAGGGTTAAACTCACGATCACAAAAAGCCACCGCATCGTCCACAAAGTTTTAGTCCATCAGAGCAAACCGGCTGCCAGACTACACGGCTCGAAGAGCAGTATTTACCGACCGGAGCAGGGAAAGGGGAAGAGGTCAGGAAAAGTTAATGCTCTCATCTAGCCATTTGCTTTAGCTTCAAATACAGCAATGAGAAAGCAAAAAGCAGGGGGACAAGGGGACACATTGGGCCACATCCCCAAACCAATGCAAGGGAAGAGGAAGACGATGAAAGAAGGTAGCAGAGACAGAGAGAAGGACGGAGACGGAGAGAGAGACAGCGAGAAGTGAGGAGATACTCACCAAAGAGACATGAAGAGGTGCCAGGAGGAAGAGCTTTCCTCACCAGCATGTTTTGTTTCAGAAAAGCAGCGAACTGAGCTGAAATGAATCAGAGAGAATTACAGTATCACAGCCCGGCTCTGGAGGGGGACAGGGAACTCCAGGGACACCACTGCGACCCACAGACAGAGACCTCGGAGCAGGCAGGCAGGCAGGCAGAGAGCTCCGGACACGACTCATCCAGCCACAGGGCACAACAGAGACACACAGACCTCCTCTCCGGATGGCAGCGTAGCACATCCGACACTAGAAGGGGCATCATCCCAGCTTTCACAGAAAGCACTTCCCAACAGCACGAGCCTTCTCCAGCCCCACAGCCATCGGGAAAAGGTCCGGCACACAGGGAACAAGAGCTTGGCTGCAAGAGGCACGGCTAGCTTGACCGAGCAGTTGAGCCGAGAAACTGAGAGTCATCAGCCAGCACATCCCTGAACAGCTACGGCCACAAAACGCAGGCCAGAAGCCACCCTGCAGCAGCACTCCTGACAAAACAAGGCAGCCACAACACACCCCACTCCACCGACCCTCCTGCGTGCTACCTAGAAACTTCCTCCCTCAACTACAACAAACGAATAGATTTCTTTAGTCCGTGGTCTGAGAAATTAATGGAGATCCAAGCTTCAACTGCCCCCCTGGAGCCTACCCCTGAGTTAGAGAAAGACTTTAGAGAATGTGGAGGGTCACGCTGTTGCAGAAGACAACAAGAAGCCTGTTCACGTCTGTCTTGAGCAAAGAAATAAGGAGAGAAGGGAGGATGGAGAACTATTCCCCAGGTGCCGCTGATATTTGCCAGAAGGGAACATCATCAACAAAACCATTACCTACATTCACAGCGTTCACAATCAGACTGAAGCAGCACCGTAAGGTTTTTAATCAGCATCTAACAGGACAAAAAAACCCCACAGCTCAAGCTGGTTTCTTATTCAGAGCAGGTTTTCCACTGCCATCTGATGCAAGATGACTCTGTAATTGCCCAAGCCCCACTGTTTCAGTCACAATTCAATAGCCTCAATCATCTCCTGAGTAGCTTTAGTCTCCCTCCCAAGCAGCCTTCAAGGATATGAGACACCAGTCAAGGGGCTCACACTTGAAAAAGAATTAGAGTACAGCTACGTGGTGATTTGGTCAGCCAGAGGAAGTGAAAATCCTTCCCACTATGAAGGGAAGGCTCCGCAAGCTGCGGAAACACCATTTCCAACCTAATTTCAACCCTCTGCAGGCTGCTGCCTTCAGATGACAGTGACAGGGGACCGAGCTGTAGAGAAAGCTGCCACGGGGAGCTTGGAATTCAAGACAGGACTCAGAAGACAAAAACCTACGCACGTCAGGACAGATAAAGACCAAAAATCCAGACGCTAAGAGGGAAGAGGGTGGGAAAGCTGTAGGGCATTACCTTGTGCCTGCTTGTGCGTCAGGACAGTGTCCGTCCTCTGCACCTGCCTCTTCAGCAGCTGCGTGGTGCCGATCTGGCTGGGCTTCTGGATGGAGGACACAGCAGCCATTTTAGTCTTAGGGCTTGAAGTGGGGCTGCTGGAGACGCTGGATAAGTCCTGCTCAAAGAGAAGGTACACCTCTTACCCCCACGTTTCTCTAAGCGGCAGTCATAACCCTGAGCGTAGCAGCACAGAGGCAAGAACGTGCATCCCTTTGCTGGAGCAGATCTATTTCTGAAGGTTCACTTGCCCCACCGCAAGCCATTAGTCCCTCCGTATCCTCTCACCTCCCTGTTCCAATACTAACCATGTCTCTCGCCACATATTTCAGCGGTACAAAAGCATCTCTTTACACAACCTCAGGCTTCCCCAGCTCAAAGTATCCCAGAGAAAGCTCCCACCTCTGAGCCTGAAGGCGAGGCCGGCACTTTGGCTGCCGGCGAGGCGGGCCTGCTGGTTCTTTCTGGTAAGTCGAATGACAGATCCCTCCTGGTCGAGTCACGCGGCTTCTTCTTCTTCTCAGCATCCAGGTCACGGGGATCAGAGCCCGAGTGGCTCTCCGCTCGGGTGAGGACTCCAGTCAAGAAGTCAGCTATTTCGTCCTAGGAAGGATGAAACAAATAGTTAGACCAAGTGGTGTGCAGGTCTCTGAACAACTGACCTTCATAGCTTGAAACAAAAAAAAGAACGAAAAATTCCCAAAGGGACAAACCCATAAGGCTCTCTAGGTTTAATATCCTGCAAAAAGAAACCATAAAACCTTACAGATAGACCTTGGCTTTCTCATTAAAGCTCATACTCCACTGATTTTCGACACATAGCAGAGAGACACCATGGTTTCTCCAATGGTTTCTTTCTTTCCCAAAAGTACTGCTTGCTTCCCCAGGCAGATGTAGGAAGACTCAGAAAACTGCTCTTTGTTTAAGGTGCACTACCAGAAAGCGCACATCTCTCCTCCTGAAAGGAGACGGCCACTTGAAAATCCCACTCAGGAGATAAATTACCTTCGTCCAACCAATCCTGGTAGTAAGGCTGTAACCCGTGGTCACTGAGACGTTTCAGCACAGATTTTTTTCTTTATAGATATGAGGTGTAAAAGGAAGATTTCTGTGGTTACCTGGATGCACCTGTCCACCATACTCTGGGTGAGGCCTTCTGACTTCTTTTTGGCTTTGCTTATCCTATTAAAAAAAAAACAAAAACAACAGATGGAAGTCAACACTTGTTTGGTTTCCCACTTTCACACTAGCAACATCATTCTTCACCTGAGAGTAAGATTCAAGCAATGGCAATCTCGCTCCCTTACCCAGTTAGACACAGAATAACGCAAGAGCCAGCTCTGTCAGCTCTCAACTCAGGAGCACCGTCTACTGGAAAGACAAGATTCATCCCTCAGAAGTGCCGAGACAAATTTTGATGACTGAGGAAAAAGGCCCAGCACCTCAAAGCATTTTGCAAAGCAAATATGACGTTTCTTTCCCTTCAGAGCTCTGCCTTCAGACCCTGTATCGGAGTTTTACATTTCTTGCTTTCCTCTCCTTTACTGATTATCCCTCCTACAGATTTCTGACTTATATGATGCTCCAAAACCTTGTCTGCGCTGCTGGGTCCAGCTCTAGCTACAGGCCAACCCTTTTTTCATACATGACTTGCTCAGATTTTTAGTGCAGTTATTCCAAACACGCACAAGTGTGACTGGAGAACAAGCTCCAAAGTTTACTGAAACCTTAAGAGCTTCTTGCCTCCTGCAAGGCCCTTACAGCCTCCCTTATCCCAATTCTGTGCACAACCTCCAAAAGCTACGTATTCCAGAGCTGGAGGTGACATCAAAAAGCAAATACTTGCTCTCGTGTCATACCACGCTGTACCCTGGATTTTTACCTTATCACTGGGAGAAACGATGCAGATTTATCACGGAAAACCAACCCAGGTTTTGAGTAACAAAGCTGACCTTGATGGAGCATTTTTACGCAGCTCCCATCTACCAAATTTGTGTACGCAACACACTCAGATCTTGCCCAGTGTTCCTGGGAAGAAGACAGTATCCCTCTCGCAGACCGATACCTGAGATTGTCATCTGCTCCTCCCACCACCACCATGCTGTTATCGGCTCGTATCTTCTCCCGGAAATCTTCCATCGCTTCGATGTTGCACTGCAGGGAATTCTGACCGATCACAAAGAGGACAGGGGTCTTCATCTCCAGGAGGGGGTCGTCAACATCCTGCAAGAGCAAGGGGAACTGTAATCTGGAAGGACTGATCCAGGACGCAGAGTCTTTGGAGCCAACACCTTTCTGAATTAGATGAGGATTTCCAAAAAGGGAAGGCACGTGCCACAGGGGCAGACAGCACTTCACATGCAATCCCAGTACATATTTTACCTTATCACTGGGAGAAACGATGCAGATTTATCACGGAAAACCAACCCAGGTTTTGAGTAACAAAGCTGACCTTGATGGAGCATTTTTACGCAGCTCCCATCTACCAAATTTGTGTACGCAACACACTCAGATCTTGCCCAGTGTTCCTGGGAAGACAGTATCCATCTCGCAGACCGTCTCAGATCTTGCCCAGTGTTCCTGGGAAGAAGACAGTATCCCTCTCGCAGACCGATACCTGAGATTGTCATCTGCTCCTCCCACCACCACCATGCTGTTATCGGCTCGTATCTTCTCCCGGAAATCTTCCATCGCTTCGATGTTGCACTGCAGGGAATTCTGACCGATCACAAAGAGGACAGGGGTCTTCATCTCCAGGAGGGGGTCGTCAACATCCTGCAAGAGCAAGGGGAACTGTAATCTGGAAGGACTGATCCAGGACGCAGAGTCTTTGGAGCCAACACCTTTCTGAATTAGATGAGGATTTCCAAAAAGGGAAGGCACGTGCCACAGGGGCAGACAGCACTTCACATGCAATCCCAGTACATACCAACTGCATCCTGAAAGGAGAGAAGTATAAATTGTGCGGTTCGCTTAAATATCTCGTGAGAAAGACTGACTCAAAAGCTGAATGAGTACATAGCGCTGTTACTCACTAACAGCTGAGACTGATGCCGTCCCCCTCAGAAACCCTATTTCACTGCATTTGCCTCCTTCCAAGCTTTTGCCGCACAAACCCAGGATAAGGCTGAAGTGCCAATGGCGAAGCTTCCTGGGGTGAGCCCCCGATGGGATTTACACAGCCATACCGAGTCCTGAAGAAAACTCTGCTTGAAAGCTGCACCGTGCTCCAGAAAATGGCTGTTATATAGATTTCCACTACCCTCAGAGTTAGCCATTTCATTAGCACAACCATAATCATTCCCAACCCGGTCACACACTGGTCAGCTAATAAAGGAGCAATTTGGGTTCCATATAAATCAAGCCAAGTTGTCATCTCTGGTGCCAAATGACACCGTTAACAAGTGACCCGCATATAGGACCCCAGAAAGGAGCTGCAAGAACATGTCACAGCAGAGATAAGCAAACACCGGACTTCTCACGCCTGCTATCGCATCAAGAATCCTACTATGAATGCGACAGTCCCGCCTGCTGGGCACACCTCCTCCAAATAAAAAAATCACACAGACATTCCTCAAAAAAGTCTTCCAATTATCACTGGACTTCCAAGCCCAATACTATGAAACAATCTAGGGAGACTTAAAAAAAAAAAAAAGCACATTTCTTTAAATAGCTCCATCTGCCTTTAGTCCTTACCCCTCTGGGGCCATCAACGGTGAGCAGTGGGAATCCAAGGCACACAACTGCAGTGACGTACTCCATCACTGAAACCTGGGTAGAAAAAGCAACAGTCAGCATCCTAACAGTCAAGTGCATCGAGGGTGGGAAGGCTGCTTTGCCAGGCTCCTGCCAGGCATGGAAATATCTTCCATATTCAGACCTTGCTTTGTTGATTAAAAGAGTGGAGAAACAACATTGAATGACTCAAATCGCTTAATGCCCCCAAGACCAAAAAGGGGGTCTGTCTCAAAGCCTTGGAAAGAGAAAAGGGACAAGAAGAACCCAGGCAGAGCCTTAAACGCAACAGCAATTCAAATCTAACTCTGAACTGAAGCTGTCAAGTGGGTTCTGAGAGGATGCAAAGGAATCGGTTACTTACGTGACAGGCCACCAAGGCACCCGTGTTCCACCCGATCAGGATGATCGGCTTGTGAGAGAAGTGGTTGTGAATCTATGGGAGAAAAAAAAAAAAAAAGACATGGATGGAGACGAGGGACAGACAACGGGTCAATGCACTGGGGTGGCACAGCACCTAAAGGCAAGGTGAATAGTTTGAAGGGAGCAGCAAAGGCTCCCCGATATGCTCGTCGCTCTTACTTACCTCTGCCACTTTGCCCCTCACCGCCCCGATCATGTGTTCGAGACACTGCAACACTCCCACCCCGCTGCCGTTGTTCAACAGGTGGGTGGCGATGGGAATCACCTGCGGTTTGAAATGAAAGATCGATAAATATGAAGGCATTACTGGGGAGAACAGGTACCAACAACAATTAGCACGGACTGGAACCCAGTTTATGCATGAACTTGTGCTTTCTCTCGCTCCCTCTTTCCCCCAGGATTCACTTCTAGCTACTAAAAAATAGAGGAAGTAGAGAATTCCCCACAGATGTAACCTCTGCTGCTCACCTCGCTCCTATACACCCAGTATGTCTACCACATTAAGAGGCATGCGAGCAGCTCTGTACCCAGGCAGAGGACTAAGGTAACCTGTAGTCTCTCTCCTCCAACCCCTTTCTACCAGAAGACTCATCAATCCTTAATAACAGTAACGGTAAAATCTAAACTGCTAGATGACTTTGGTCAGCAAGAGACCCCAAACGCATCGGATTTGGGCAACTTCATCCCCTGTGCAGCATCTCAAATGGTCAATACTGCAGGTGGCAGATGCCAGCCTCTGCTTTCAGCAGAACCAAGTATTTTGGTGCACTGAAGGCTTATAAAACAAGCTCAGCAGCTGCAGTCTAGCACAGCTGCTAGTTTGAATTTCCCTCCTTTCAAAACCAACCATACAAACCTTTCCCAAGCAAGAAAGCTGCGACTGCCAGAATCGGTGCCGTCGAGAAGTGGGGAACATGGAGTTAGAGGGTCCAGAGGAAGCAATCAGGATGAGGGGGGAACCAGGCAATTTGCTCTACAAAATTCAACAAGAGACCCTTAAGGGAAAGCAACTTCCCTGCCCGAGACCTCGCGGCCCAGCCTGGCCTGTACAACGAAGCAGGAGGGATCTTGCATAGCTCATTAATTGATCACATTTTCCCCACCCAAAGCTACCTCAGGATAGTACAGGGGGAACGTGTGCAACAGAAGGAGTCCCCCTCATTGAGCAAGTCTAAAACAGGAGGAAAAAGAGCCCAGGAAGCAAGACAGAGGCGGAAGGAAGAGGACAGCAGAAGGATGGGAAGAATAAAGCTGTCTGAGACCAGCCTCTCGCTCCCTGCAAGCCCCAAGAGGTACTCACTGGTTTATTATGCGACAAGACACCCACGGCCGGGTCCCAAGGTCTCTTCAGCAGCAGAGACAGAGCCTCGGCACCTGCTGCCCCCGTCTTCGCGGTAGAGGACAGCAGCATCCTGTCGATCAGGGTGGGGATCTGAAACCAGAGGCCAGAAAGGACTGAAAAAAGGCACACTAAAAACTCCGTCAGCTTCCTTTAACGAGCTTTATAAAGGGAGAACATTATAAACGATAGCAAAGTCTTTCACTGCTTTTATCACCTTTCCTTTAAGCGTTTGCAGAGCATCCAAGTAAGCAGCCAGCACTGGCAAACTGAGGGTTTCCACTAACGTCGTGTGAAGCCACTGGATCAGCTTGGTGTCCCAGTTCACACTAGCCAGAGCTTGGCGGACTCTCCGAGCACATTTGTCCACCGCTATCCTCCTCAGAACTGGCTCGTTGCAAGCCTAAAAACCAGGAAATTAAAAAGAAACACAGTGATGGGAAAAATCAAGCATCCCTGCCCAAGCCACAGGGAAGTATTGGCTTGGGCAGCCCAAAGTCCTCTGGCAGCAAGCAAAGACCAACATCCTCGCAGTGAGGACAAAACCATGCCCCAAAGCAGCCCAGAGCTGCCTGTTTCTTAAGACTACGCAACCCAAAGGCCAAGACTTTCATTCTTGACTCAGTCGGGCTTTGCTAGGAAGGACTGGTAAAAACACACAGGCAGCCACTCTGCTGGGAAGTGAAATACGGAGTGAAAGATCTTACCCCTTCGTTAGCCAAGCGAGCCAGCCTGTCAGACTGCAGCGCCTTGTGAATCTTGTTAAATAGCTTGTTCTGGGCCATCGTCCAACCCGTCCTGTTGAGAAAACCAGAGAGGAAACGTAGGTCACTGTTTCACAGACCTCCAGGTCCTGCGAGCTGCTGCCCGTTCCCAAGGCGGCCGGCAGCACAGCTGGGCATCGGCTGCGATTGCAGCCTCAAGAACCGATTTATGGCTATGGACAAAGTGAGTTTCGCTACTGAGGATTTAAGTTATAGGATGGCTCAATAAGAAACACCAGGTTTTAAATGTCACTAGGGTGTGTCGGTGAGCTTGTAAGCATCAGAAAGGCAAGAGTAATAGCAGAAGCCATAAATAAGACCAAAATAATCACTCCTTTTAGCATAGGTTATCACCACGTTCCTCAAACAAACTGTCCAGAAAAAAAAAATCCACATTCCTCGTAACATCGAGACTGCGAACTGGCTTAACTATAGTTCCAGGGAGGGTTTTTAATTGATGCATATCCTCATTTTTAATTGTTGACTTTGGAATATGGCTGAATTGAGGATCTACGTGTAATCTACCAACTCACTGTCCCAACCTCCTCCAAACAAAGGAGACGGCTTCACGTGAAGTGTGGGGAGAGGTTCAACAACCGGGCCAGCCTCTACCATTAAATCCAACAGCTTCTCCAAACAAAGGAGACGGCTTCACGTGAAGTGTGGGGAGAGGTTCAACAACCGGGCCAGCCTCTACCATTAAATCCAACAGCTTTCACAGCAGGCGCATGAGGAATTTGGAGATGAGAATTCATTTTCTTTGAACATCATTCAGTTCAGGAACGTCACTGCCCATTGAGTCACACTAAAAAAACCCCACACCACACAACAAGTTGCTGTTCAGTGCCCGAATTTCTTTTCTCCGTTATCCCCACGCTACCTGTTGACGTGTTCCTCCCAGTCGTCCGGCGGCGGAGGGGCGTCAGCGTCCGTGCGAGCGAACATGACGTGGCGCTCGCACTCGTTCATGACGCTGCGCGCCTTCTGGTTGTCATAGAGCGGCACGGGCGTGGGCGTCACCGTCTCGACATCGATGGGGATATCTGCTTCACTGTCAGGAATAATTACGCTTTAGAGAAGTGGATCGCTCACCTTGGGGTCTGCCGTGCTTTACAACGAACAGTCCACTCAGCTTCATAAGCAGGTATCTTGTTATTCCCAGTCTCCCGGCAGCCCCCCTGAACCCCAAGACCAAGCCCCTGAGCTGGGACCCTGAGCGCACTCCCATCCCTCACCCCAAACTCACCCGTGACCCCAGGCCCAACCCCACACCCCGACCCTAAAGCAAACCATTGCAGCCTGGCCGCAACCCC